CTATATATCTCACTGAGAATTCTCTGCCTTGGTAGGGCAATTTTAAACTGGAGAAACTCACCACACACACACACACACACACACAAGCTTTCCCTAGACAATAAGCAAAGCTGGGCTGACCTCTCTTGTCTTCAGCAGTTTCCTGTGGGTCTTCAGCCTGAGTCCTAACATTGCTCTTTTTTAATTTGAGTTCTGAATATCACTGACTACTTGTTTTTTCCTTAATCTTCCCCTTTGAACTTGATACCTGAACTTGCATTTCATTACTAGCTCTCATCTTTCCTTGCTGGCTCTTCTTACTTCTAGATACTCAAAGATTCAAAAATATGTTGAAAATTAAGTTAGTTTATTTCCCTCTAATCCATATTCTGGCTTAATGACATGTTTGCAGAGTAAGACCACATTAGAGGCTGGCGAAGAACAAAAGAATGGACCAATGAGACATGGGAAAAGACATCAAAGAACAAAAGCATGACACTTAAATTTCAGCAGGATCAGACTTTGATGGAATCTTATCCAAGTCAGAAATTACATTTGGAAAATTCCTTTGAAATACCTGAATCTTTGGAGAAGGCCCTAGTATATTAAAGTGCATCACCCTCAATTTCCACCACTCATCTGTCAGTTTGTTGCCCTGTAGTGGCTTGTGTGTTGCTGTGATACTGGGAGCTATGCCAGCAGTGTCTCAAATGCCAGCAGGATCACCCATGATTGACAAGTTTCAGTGGAGCTTTCTGACTAAAACAGATTGAGAAGAAGGAACTGGTTATCTACTTCTGAAAAAAATTGGCCAAGAGAAAAGTTTATGGATAGTAGTGGAATATTTTCTGATACAGTGCCAGAAGATGAGCACCTCAGGTTGGAAGGCATTCAAAATATGGCTGGGGAAGGACTGCCACCTCAAAATAGACTCAAACTTAATGGTATGGATGAAGTAAATTTTTTGAGACTGTTATGAATAGAATTGCACCCCCCAAACTATGTGTTATAAATCCTAACCTCTGTATCTGTGGCTAGAATCCCATTTGGAGATGGGTTGTCTTTGTTATGTTAGTGAGGCAGGATTAGTGTAGTGTGTATTTTAAGTGAATCTCTTTTGAGATATAAAAGAGATTAAACAAGTGAGGAAGGAAGCAGAGATAGTAGAAGAGATATGCCAAGCCACATGAAGCACATGAAGCCACAGGCGCAGAAACTCAAAGAGACAAAGCTCTTCCTCCGCAGCTAACAGAGAGAGAAAGCCTTCCCCTAAACCTGGCACCCTGAATTCAGACTTCCAGCCTCCTAACGTGAGAAAATAAATTTCTGTTTGTCAAAGCCACCTATAGATGGTATTTGTGTTATAAAAGCACTAGATAACTAAGACAAGACCTTTATTTGCTGGAGTGACATGACTCAAAATGAAGAAGCAGCTGCAACCATTCATTTATAATCAGAATGTGTAACCTATGAAATAAGAATCAAGGAAAATTGGAAGCTGTCAAAAATGAAATGGAAGGCTTGAAGATCAATATCCAGGGCATTAGTGAGTTGAAATGGACTGGTATTGGCCATATTGAATCAGATAATCACATAGTTTACTATTCCAGGAATGACAAATTAAAGAGGAATGATCATCACCAAAAAGGACATTTCAAAGTCTATCCTGAAATACAACACTGTCAGTTGTCAGTGTAAACATATCTGTATATTTACAATTAATATGACAACAGGTATCTCTCACTTTTCAAAGATTTATTTTATGTCATTTAACTTTTACAAAAGACCTACATTAATATTTATTTTCTATAACCAAAATAAATCCCAAGAGGATTTCCACTTTTATGAGAAAAGGTGAAAAGTGAAACTAGCATTCAGCATTTGTTCTGCAGTGAGCCATTAAAGAGCGAGCACACACTCCACTAGCAAGAATAGTGTTGTCAATCTTCTTTTGGGGAAACTATACTATATATAAATTATTCCCACTTTATATAAGCTATGTATTTTTCATATCATTCCTGCTTTTACTATACATTATCATTATTTTAGGTTTTATGTGTTCTTTGGTATGATTTGGTAGGCTATTTTTATTTTAATTAATTAATTTATTTATTTTTTGATCTGTGAAAACTCATATATTTTTCCCATTTAAATTAATGGTAATTGCTTCTTCCCTTTACCACATTTGGCCTTATGAAATATTTCATAGGAACAATCCAGTTTCAGATAGTGTGGAAAACCCATATTATTTAAACTTATGCACCAACCACTCATGTCAGAGATGAAGAAATTGAAGATTTTTACCAATTTCAGCAGTTTGAAATTGATCATGCATCAACATGCATTGATAATTACTGGTGACTGGAATGCAAAAGTTGGAAATGAAAAAAGATCAGTAGTTGGAAAATATGGGTTTCAGAACAGAAACATGATAAAATTTTTCAAGACCAACACCTATTCATTGGAGATACACTTTTTTTTTTTCAACAACGTAAAGCACAGCTTTATACATATACCTCACCAGATGAAATACACAGGAATCAAATTGAGTACATCTGTGGAAAGAGATGATGGAGAAGTTCAATAATGATATTGAAATTGAAACAAGTCCATGAAAGCCAAAGTATGATCATGAGTATATTCCACTTGAATTTAGATATCATCTCATTAATAGATTTGATGCATTGAACACTAGTTACCAAAGATCAGACAAGTTATGGGATGACAACAAGGATATCATCCATGAAGAAAAGAAATGATCATTAAAAAGACAGGAAAGAAAAAAAAAAAAAAAGAAAAAGGGCACCTGAAGAGATTCTGAAACTTGCTCTTGAATGTAGAGTAGCTAAAGAAAAAGGAATACATGATGAAGTAAAAGAGCTGAAAAGAAAATTTCAAAGGATGGCTCAAGGAGACAAAATAAAGTATTTTAATGAAATGTGCAAAGACTTGGAGTTAGAGAACCAAAAGGGAAAAAACATGCTTGGCATTTCTCAAGTGGAAGGAACTGAAGAGAAAAAATTAAAAAAAAATTTAAGCCTCAATATTGAATATTGAAATACTGAAATATTCAATATGTGAGCAAAATATTGAATGATGCAGGAAGCATCAAAAGAAGATGGAAGGAATACACGGTCACTGCACCAAAAGAGTTGGTCAACATTCAATCATTTCAGGAGGTAGCATACGATCAAGAACCCATAATAATGAAGTAAACCCAAGCTGCACTGAAGACGTTGGCACAAAACAAGGCTCCAGGAATTGACAAAATGCCAACTAAGATATTTCAACAAACAGGTGCAATACTGAAAATGCTCACCTGTCTATTCCAAGAAATTTGAAAGACAGCTACCTGGCCAACCAACTGAAAGAGATCCATATATGTGTCTGTCCAAAGAGAGGTGATCCAATGGAATGTGGAAATTATCAAACAATATAATTAATATCACATGTAACTAAAATTATGCTAAAGATAATTTAAAAATGGTTACAGCAGTACATCAACAGGGAACTGACAGAAATTCTCACCAGATTCAGAATAGAACATGGAATGAGGGATATCATTACTAGTGCCAGATGAATCTTTGCTGAAAGCTGAGAATACCAGAAAGATGTTTTACTGTGTTTTATAGACTGTAGAGAAACATTTAGTGGTGTGGATCATAACAAATTATGGATAACATTGTGAAGAACGGGAATTCCAAAACACTTAAATATGCTACGTGAAACCTGTACGTGGACCAAGAAGCAGTGGTTCGAACATAACAAGGGGATACTGTGTGGTTTAAAATAAAGAAATGTGTACCTCAGCCAAATATCCTTTCACGTATTTATTCAATCTGCATGCTGAGCAAATAACCTGAGAAGCTTGACTGAAGAGGAATGCGGCATCAGGATTGGAGAAAGCTTCCAATATGCAGATGACACAACCTTTCTTGCTGAAGCGAAGAGGACTTGAAGCACTTGCTGATGAAGATCAAAGACTGCAGCCTCCAGTAAATGGATTACACTTAAACATAAAGCAAATAAAAATCTTCACAAGTAGACTGATAAGCAACATCATGATAAACAGAGATTGAATTTTTCAAGGATTTCATTTTACTTGTATACACAATTAACACCCATGAAAGCAGCAGTCAAGAAATCAATGATGTATTACATTGCTGCAAAAGACTTCTTTCAAGGGTTAAAAAGCAAAGATGTCACCTCGAGGACTAAGGTGTGCCTGATGCAGGCTGTGGTATTTTCAATCACCTCATTTGCATGTGAAAGCTAGACAATGAATAATGAAAATATACTTTATTCATGAAGAATAAATGCTTTTAAACGATAGTGTTGTCAAACTCTATTAAATATATCATGGACTGCCAGAAGAGTGAACAAATACATCTTGGAAGAAGCACAGCCAGAATATTCCTTAGAAGAGAGAATGGAAAACTTTGGCTCATGTGCTTTGGATATGTTACCTGGAGAGACCAGTCACTGGAGAAGGATATCATCCTTGTTCAAGTCAAGGATCAGTGGAAAAGAGGAAGACTTAACAAGACGGATTGACGTAGTGGTTGCAACAATGGGCTGAAACAAGTGATTGTGAGGGTGGCACAGACTGGGCAGTGTTTTGTTCTGTTACGCATAGGGTCGCTATGAGTCAGAAATGACTTGATGGCACCCAACAGCAACATAACAACCCCCAATCCATGGAAATCCAACCAAACTATAGAAAGGAGCATTTTTTATTTTCTAAACCTCCACAGGAGAGAAACAGAAACCTGGCCATTGGCCATTTCTCCATTTCTAAGTGAGAAGTGTGGAATCTTATAAACCCAGGTGTTAATACTATGCTTTTACATACACCATGCATATACCTCTCTTCCGCCTTCTATTTTTGTGAACTTGTGCTGAAGGGTAACTTCCGATCCTGACTTCCTCAAACCTTTGACAAGCTGTTGCCTCTTGACTCTGAGGTGAATTTTCTTTTTGATGAGAGGACATCTTCACTTACAATTCCCGACCTGTTCCCCATGCTGCTGAGGCTTCTGCTGTTGATCTGTGGTGAGTAGGACAATGCGGAGCAGAGTATGCGATCCCATCACACTGGGTCTCCACTTCCTGAAGAGTTGTGAGGACTTCTCAGGGTTAAGGTTCTGCCCAGGGATGCTCAGGGATGCTTAGGGCTCCACTTCCAACTGGAGGTTCAGAGTCAGGCAGGAAGACACTGGAAAGCTAAATTTTTGAAGAAAATTCTCTATTCAGTTTTTCTCACATATGAATTGTTCAGTGATCCTGTCTTCTCTTCTTGCTTTAACAGTTACAGATATAATTCATGCACAAATTGGCTGTTCAGTTAGTTGCCTGTCTTGCTATCAATATTATTTCCATTTACTCCTCCTTGCACCCTGCTACTATTGTCAAATTCTAAAAGTCATCATCACTAACAACCGCCCAGCTTCCAAATTCTTGGTATTCAGCATTCCCTACCCTCCCACACCTACTCACTCTCTCTAGCACTCAATATTCACTGTATCTTCAGCTCCCTAAGGTCACTCTTTCTTTGTAAATCCCTCCCCATAGTGTTCTCACTTCTCACAGTAATTGGCTTAGATTTTGTTTTCCATCTCCACAACACTCCTTTGGATACCCCCTCATCTCTCTTCCTCCACAGCACTTACCTGATTGACACACTTTTCTGTATGCTTCACATTTGTGCCTAAGAAGCTGAATGTGACTTTAGACAAAAGGTGTAATCCTGCTGACTTATCTCCTTTAAATGTGTTGTTGTTGTTATGTGCCGTCAAGTCAGACCCGACTCATAGCAACCCCTCCTTGGGTTGCCGAGGCAGTATCACTACGGAAGTAGATTGCCCAACCTTTCTTCTGAGGAGTGGCTGGCTGGTGGGTTTGAACTGCCAGCCTTCTGATTAGCAGTCAAGTGCCTTAGGCACTACACTACCAGAGGACACCAAATTTTAAGTGGGCCATTGTCAGTGTTAGGCAACCCTGCTGTATTTTCATAACCCATACTCTCTTACTCTTGAAGATAACTCTTCCATGCCTCCTTTCCATGTCTCCTTTCTCCATGTCTCTTTTCTCCTCAAACTCTCTCACTCTCAGTTTATGACTTTACTTCATACGTCACTGGAAAATAGAAGCAATCAGAGGAAGATTTCCTCATCTTCTCACTGATGTATTTACCACCCCAGGCATATCTTTACTCACATACCCTGCCTTCCTTCCCTCTACCATGATTATACTGTTTTTCCTACTATCTAAGACAAGATTCTCTACTGTGCACTGGGACCCAGGTCCTCTTGCTTTCTTAAAAACTTTACTCCATGATCAAAATGTTTCTCCATTCTAGATTATTTTAGGAGTATACAAATATGCTACAATATCTTCTATTTGAACAGATGGAAATATGACCTAATGGTCTCTTCCATCTACTGCATCAATTCTCTATCTCTCTTTACAAAATTTTCAGTGAGTTATGGACTTTATTTCATATCTTTCCATCTTTCTTTTTAAAAATTCATTTTAAATTTACATTATTAGAAAATTGTCTTTTTTGATATATCTTTTATGAATTTTGGCAAATATTTAGAACCATGTAACCACCACAACAATAAAAATACAGAACATTTCCGCCACTTCAAAAATCCCCTCATGTCTTCATTTGATTTTGTCTGCATCACTAACCTCTGACAACTACTGAACTGTTTCAAGTCCCTATAGTTCCCCCCCCCGCATTCTTTCTTGAATCCATTCTGATCAATACTTTATTCCCACCACACCATTGAAATTGCTCTTGCTAATATTATTAACCACCTCAGTGTTGCCCCATACAGAAATCAAGTTTCATTTCTCATTTCACTAAACCTCTTGGGGCATTTGACAGAGTTGAGAACTCCCTTTTATTGACACATATTTTCACCTGGTTTCTGGAACACTCTGTTGATTTTCTTTTTAACTCAATATCTGCTGGTTTCCAGTCACCTTTGCTGAATTCTCCTTTTACTGAATCAAAATGTTGGACTTCTCCAAGGTTGGTACATAAACTTTTCTATCCATATATACATGTCCAAGTGACACCATCTCTTCACTTTAAGTTTAAATTTATATTTATTTCTCCAGCTTTGACCTCTCCTTTGAACACCTTTAATAGAGTCAACTGTCATTCAGGAGTCTAAAAAGTATTTTAAACTCAACATATCCCAACAGATCTCTTAACCATACATGTGTATCTCCACTACCCCAGAACTTAAAACTATTTCTCCCCATTTCTTCTCCAATTCACTAAATGTTAACACCATTTATTCAGTTACTGTTATTAAAAATTTAGAAGTCATACATAACTCTTGTCTTTTGTTCATACTTTCTATGTGACACATAAGTAATCCCTACTGATTTTACCTTCCAAAATTGTACTGAATCTGACCATTGAATAGCACCTAATCTGAGCCATCCTTCTCTCTTTTCTAGATTAACTGCCCCATTAATGTTTGTCTTGCTTCTCTTGAATTACTGTAATCTGTTCTTTTCACAGAATAAGACTGATCTCACACGAATGTAAATTAAATCAGAATTGTCCAGGCCTCCCCATAACATCTAGAATGAAATCCAACTCTTACCAAGTCCACAAAACCTCCCATGACACACTTCCTTCCTCTTACTCCTTCTCGAACAAGCTTATCCCCTCCTCAAGGTCTTTGCATTTGCTATTAGCTCTACCAAAGATGCTCTTTCCTGAATATTTAGAAGACTCACTCCCTGGTTTCATTCAGGTTTTTAGTCAATTGGTATCTACATAAATAGTTACGACTGTCCTCAGATATTTTAACTTTTTTCTCTGCTTTATTTTTCTCCTAGCACTGACCACTTTCTGAAATCATATTATGTATTTATTTATTGATTGGCTCAACAGATAAATATTATTTGCATTACAGTAAATTTGTTGAATTTACTTTAATGTAAATTCCTTGGTGGCACACTGCCATTCATGTTCACACCTGTAATCCCAATGCCATGCACAATGCCTAGCACTCAAAAATAATTGTTGAATACATGAACAAGCAAAATGTGATTTTTATGCTAGTTATCACTGCTGCCTCCTCTCTACCTGAGGAATGAATTGCTGACTTAAACATTTAGTCTGAAACATTAGGCATCTCTAAAGATGAACTAAAAGATATTAATGATAGTAAGCAATATTAATTGGGTGTCAACTAAATCTAAGGCACTATTTCCAAGAACTTTATAGGTATTAACTTATTTAATCTTCACAAAAACTCTGTGAGGCAAGCACTATTATTATCTCCATTTTGAAGAAAAGGAAACTAAAGCAGAGAGGTTGAAGCATTTTTCCCAGGATCACACAGCTTGTAAGACAAAGAACCAGCATTTAAGTCTACACCATCTGGCTATAAAGCCTGCGTTCTCCCCAGAATTTCCTCCTCTTGATCATCATACCCAAATATTGTGGTCCAATCCTTGAGAGCATCTTTGAAGAAATCTGAATTCCTAATCTGGTCTGTAAGCCTATTCTGAATTTGGTAAATAAAGAGATGCCATTACCTTGAGGATGAGCCACTCCACTCTTCTTGTCTAACTCTGTTGTTACCATGAGCAGTGAGTCTTACGTTGGATCATGAAGACTTCTGAAAGGCAGGATTGGAAGTGAGGGGCTTGAAGAAAGGAGTTGTTGAGTAGTTAAAAGCAAAGGCACCATTTCCTAATCACAGCTGAGAAAAGTAATCATAAGTTACTTTATGATGCTTTAAAAAGAGCCACGTGTCAATTTATGGGGATATGTTTTGTGGATAATGTTGAATGTGGGGGAAAAAAAGAGGGAAAGAGAGAACAAAGGAAGAAAGGAAGGGGTAGAAGATTAAGAGAGAGAGGGAAGAAGAGGAGGGGGGAAAGAGAGTTAAGGAAGAAGGAAGGTAGAGACAGAGGAGGACAAGAGGACGGGAAGGTAGATTGTTGAGTTACACTTTGTGTATGTTTGGGATTTGCTACTCTCTACTGATCTCTGCTCTGTTCTCTCCCAGCACCACTCTGTGAACCAACCGGTGAGTTGCACTTCCCTTTCTTCTTCAAGGTCTGTGAGCACCTTGTCACTCGAATCAGCACAGGAAACCCATGGATGGTTGTCTGAGCAGTCTGTGCTCATCCAAGACATACACTGGTGACGCTGCTGAGGTGTACAAACATCAGTGGCTCTCTTGAGCCTGGGCTGTTCTGTTCATACCAGTCTCTGCTCCTGACATGTGCCTACTCAGCTGGTGAGCAGGTCTTGCTCTGACCTTCTCAAGACCACAGTCTTATTTTTGAAAAGTCCAGTATGGGGAGGGAAATAGCACTTGCACAAAGAAGGCAGATGATGCTGAAGATCTATGCTAGAGAATCTCTGTCCTATCAGTTTCAGTGGCACTAAGGTTCCTGTGTACTCCACCAGGGATGATGGAAGAAATACTGGACACCCACAGAACAACCTTACAGTCAATCTTCAGTCTACTCAATAAATGAAGTATAAGCCCTGCCTCCTTCCATATCTAGCCCTGCCCTGCAGCTCAAGCTGCTACATACACCAGCAAGTTTTCTCTCTTAGACTCCCATTTATGTAAATTAATGTTTCTCTGATTCTGATTCAAAGTCCTACCTTACCGCTATGAGGAGAGAAGGACAAGTTTCCTCATCTTTCACTAAAGCATGTTTGCACTGAATGAATGTGTGAATTGTTCTTTTATGCATGTAATACCATGGGGTTAAAAGAGGTAATCCTACAACCTCAAGAACTAGGGAATGCAAGATAGGAATCTAAGGCATTTGACAGCTAACCAGAAGGCTGGCGGTTCAAACCCACCAGCCACTCCTCCAAAGGAATATTGGGCAATCTGCTTCCGTAGAGATACTGTCTTGGAAACCTGAGAAGGGGTCTCTATGAGTCAGAAACAAGTTGACAGCAATGAGTTTGGTGTTTTACCAAAAAAGAGTTTCAGAACAAATCTAGTCTTCTGAGTTCCTCACCTGATGTTTATCCGTGTCTAAATCGTGCCTTGTGTGTTTCTTCTGGCTCTGCTGTTATTCCATAATACCACATGGGCATGGTGCCTAAGGCATTTGACTGATAAGCAGAAGGCTGATGGTTCAAACCCACCAGCCACTCCTCAGAAGGAAGGTTGGGCAATATACTTCCATAGTGATACCACTTCAGAAATCCAAGGAGGGGCCACTATGAGTTGGATCTGACTCGACAGCAGTGAGTTTTTATTTTTTATTTTATTTTTTGAATCCTGATGTAAAGCAGGAATCAAAAGCTGCATTGCAGATGAGGAAACAGAGTTTCTGTCACCAAATACATTCCAGGTAGTCTCTGCAGCTTGGGAATGATCCGAAACAAGCTCTGAGCTGGAAGGCTGAACTTCAGATCCTTGCAGCCAGCCCTGTCTTGTTTCTTATTTCCCCCTGCTTAAACTCCATTTAGAGAGGGAGGTTAAAACAAAACAAAACAAAAATTACTGTGGAGTTCACTCCAACTCATGGCAGCCCTGTATGTGTCAGAGCAGAGCTGCTCCATAAGGTTTTCAAGGCTGTACTCTTTCAGAAATAGGTTGCCAGGCCTTTCTTCCATGATGCCTCTGGGTGGATTCAAACTGTTAACCTTTCATTTAGTAGCTTAGTACTTAACTATTTGTGCCATTCAGTGGCAGACATTCCATGAAGAGAAAAGATCAAGTCAAAGGTAAAGGATGTCTTCTAGAAAGAGATGCTGTTGCATTGGGACAGGATGGGTGGAGGGTGAGCAGAGTGGACTAATGGCAAAGGAAAGTCTATGGGCCACTGTGAAAGGGTCATGTGATAGATTGGTATGTGTGTCCAACTGGCTGGTTCTTTGAGTCCTGTTTGCAAGTGCTGAGAATACAAAGTGTCTCTAACAAGGAACTCTGAACCCCATTCCCCATTGCTCCACTGTGTTTTATTTTTCTCTCTAGAGTTGTTTCTGAAACCCAGTCCCTCCCAGACCATAGAGGGAAACTCAATGACCCTGACCTGTGAGATCCAGCCTCGTCTACAGACATCAAAAGCCCAGCTTCAGTTCTGCTTCTTCAAGGATAATGGGGCTCTGAAATCGGGCTGGAATAGCTCCCCAGAGCTTCGGATTCTCGCCATGTGGACTAAAGACTCAGGATCTTACTGGTGTGAGGCAAAGACAGCGAAAGCCACCACTACAATAAGGAGCAGGAGGTTATGGATACAAGTACAGAGTGAGTACCAGTAGCCAGTCTGCTAGGGTGGACTGAAAGGGGAAGTGGCACAAAGCTGGTCATCCCTGTCTGCTATATTCTGCTCGCACTGCAACAGGAGCTAGTCTAAAGATGTACCTAACCTCTCTATCAGATTTTAGTTTCCTAGTTCTGCTGTAACACAAATACCATAAGCACATGTCATTAGAAAACAGAAATTAATTTCCTCAGAGTTCAGGAAGCTAGAAGTCCAAATTCAAGATGAGCCTCTTGAAGGAAGATCCTTGTCTCTTCCAGATTCCTTGATCCCTTGGCAATTTACACTTGGCATCTATCTTGCTGCATTTATGCTTGCTTGCCTCTGTGTTTAGGCTGTTTCTTACATCATTCAGAAAAGAGTAGGTTTAGGACATAGTCTACATACATAGCCTCATCACCATAACAGAGAACCCTATTCTCAAAAGGGATTTCAGCCACAGGTATAGGAATAAGGACTCTCACACATATTTTTTGGGGACACAATTAAATCCATAATTGTTATGTGCCGTCGAGTCGGCCCCGACTCATAGCGACCCCTCCTTGGGTTTCCAAGGCAGTATCACTACAGAAGTAGGATTGCCCAACCTTCCTTCCGAGGAGTGGCTGGTGGGTTTGAACCACCCGCCGTCTGGTTAGCAGGCAAGTGTCTTAGTCACTATGCTGCCAGAGCTCCCAAATCCATAATAGAATCCTTAAAAGATGTTCCCTTATCCTTGTTCCTCCTATTCAGGCAAACCAGAATATTACAGAAACATGTCACTGTGCTGGAGGGCATGGGGGGAAATTGTTGCATAATACATGTCCGAGACTACAAGAAGGTTGAGTTTCAACCAGCACACTGAATACCCAGGGTAAACTCTGTGGTACTTTATTGTATAGGATTGACTATTAGAGGAGCTGCAGAGAAGGGACAAATGTGACTGAGGTGGTGAGGTATTTTATGGAAGAAGTGTATGGAATAACCTGTTGGAGAGAATAAGCTATTATGGAAGAGAAGTTGGAGACTGATTTTAAAGATAAATAGAAAAGAGGGTGTTTATGATTTTGAACCATGTTATTGCATTTCAGGGTGGACCCTTCCAACATCTTCTCCCATTCTCAGACAATACTATATGCACTGTGCCATAAAGCACATGTCTGCTACTTCTGAAAGTCTGGGCTTTCCTAAACTTGTTTAAACACTCAACACTGGTGAAAACAGACCAGAACAAAAACATCATAGCTGTCTTCATGCACAGTTAATGTGCAGCAGACCCTGTTCTTATACTTCACATATGTTGTTGAATTGAATACTCACAACTGTAGGAGATAACTATCATTATTGTCTCTGTTTTGCAGATAAGAAACAGAGTCTCAAAGAAGTTAAGTAATTTGATCAAGGACACACAGCGAGTAAGAGTTGGAACCAGCATTCAAAAATAGGCAGTTTGATTTGCAACCAGGACTTGTAACCACCATATACTCTACCTTGAAAATTGAGGGTTTGGAAACTCAGAGATGGCCTTGTCTGAGCTGGTCATCCCTGTATTCTGCTCCTACAGTGATAGGGACTAGTCTAGAGGTGTACCTGAACATATTTCTTTACCTGGGAGTCACACTGATCTAGGGAGGGAGGTGATGATGCTGTACCCTTCATGGTAATATTACGGTGTCTTTCTTATACTACCACCATCAATTCCAGATCAGAGACCACCCCCGCACCCTTTTATTTTCTTTTAAATCATATAAATCACTGACTTTACCTGAGGCCTTTGTTTTCAGCACTGTCATGCCTACTTCCTGTCCCTGAAATCCTTCCTTCTCAGATTGCTCCTGTATCATCTTCTGTTCATGCAGGGGTTCCTGTCTCTGATGTGAGCTTGGAGACACAGCCCCCAGGGGGACACGTGACAGAGGGAAAGAAGCTGGTCCTTGTCTGCTCCGTCGCTAAAGGCACAGGAAACATCACCTTCCTCTGGTACAAAGGGGCCATGGGCTTAAAACTGGGCACAAAGACCAAGCATGCCCTAACTGCAGAGTTTGAGATCCTTACGGCGAGGGAGAATGATACTGAGCAATATTACTGTGCAGCTAACAATGGCTTTGGCCTCAGTCTCAGTGGGCTGGTGAGCATCACTGTCAGAAGTAAGTTCCACCAATCTTCGTCTTAATCAGTAGGCCTCAAGCTGAGGTCCATGTTCCCCCAGGGCACCCTGAAGAAGTTCAAATAGGGCTGAGCCTCTGGGGGCAGGGATTATGACTCTGTCCCATCATCAGAGACCCCTCTGACAGCTAACAATCTCTATCAGTTCCAGTGTCTCGCCCAGTCCTTACCCTCAGGACCACTGGGGCTCAGGCTGTGGTGGGGGACATGGTGGAACTTCACTGTGAGGCCCAAAGAGGCTCTCCTCCAGTCCTGTACCAGTTTTATCTCAAGGATGTCACCTTGGGGAGCAGCTGGGCCTCTTCTACAGGAGGAGCATCCTTCAACCTCTCGCTGACTGCAGAACGTTCTGGAAATTACTCCTGCGAGGCCAGCAATGGCCTGGAGGCCCAGCACAGTGAGGCTGTGCCACTCATCATCACAGGTATAACACAGGATATAGAATTGTCTTGGTCTCTGTCCCTTCTTAGCTTTCTGAGGAAGTTTTTCTGATGCTGCCACAGTGGTTCTGGTGTGGTGCTACCAAAAATGGGAATTCTGCAGGTAGGGCTGTTCTGGGCAATGTATCTGGCGGGTGTGGAGGACCAAAATGCTGGGTGCTTCTCTTCTCCTTCCATCAGCATGATACGCTGCAAGTCTCTAGTAAAAAAGTGAATACCTCTTGGGAAGAGCAGACAGACCTTGGCTACAGCCCACACCCAAGATCTCTGTTCTCCAAACCCCAAGTTCACATGCAGATCTCTCCTTTCAGTGCCTACAGAGAACAGAAGGGACCTTCTTACTTCAGGAGTCATTGAGGGGCTGCTTGGCATCCTTGGTCCCACCACTTTTGTTCTACTATTTTGCTACTGTCTCAAGAGAAAAATAGGTTAGTATTTATAGAAATTGAGAATCTGTTACTGCAACATTTATTTTCACTGAAGTAGACTCTGTCTGTGATGTGTATATTGCAAAGGAAGGATTACTATGTCCTGCTAACCACTCTGCCTATGAATTGTCTCAAAACCACCTAGTAAGTAGAAATGGCATCTATTAAAATAATGTAAAGTTTTCAGATTGTTCTCTATCTCCCATGTACTATCAATCAAGTTTCAATTGATACCTTGCACTTCTGTGATTTTATTTTTTATATAGAAAATAACTAAAAAATAATTATATAGTCCTTAGAAGAGAGGTAGTTCCCTGGGAGGGGCAAACTGTTAAGTCCTGTAGTACTAATTGAAAGGTTGGTGGTTCAAACCACCCAGAGTTGACTTGGAAGACAGGCCTGGCAAACTGCTTCTGAAAGGTTACAGTCATTGAAAGCCTTATGCAGAGCAGTTTTACTCTGCACAAGTGGAGTCACCAAGAGTTGAAATCGACTCCATGGCAATTAACAACAATAATGACAGAAGTACAGTTAAGAGTTCCAGCTATACTGACCATCTTCTAGTTCTAGTCAGTGTACGAATTCTTACTCATGTTTTCCTTCCCCCTGACATGCTTGTCTACACATCCACATGTTCTACTCACTTCAGCTTAAATGCCATTTTCTCAAAGAGGTTTCATCTAGCCACTAACTCTACACTTGTTCTCTTGCATTATTCTTCACCAGAGTAACAATCTTTAACTTCATGTTCTACTACTATTGATAAAGATGGTTTGTTGTTGTTGTTGTTATGTGCCATTGAGTCAGATCCAACTCATAGCGACCCCCTCCTTGGGTTTCTGAGGCAGTATCACTATGGAAGTAGATTGCCCAACCTTCCTTCCAGATAAAAATGGTAGTGATATATTCATTTGTATCTTAAACTTTGGTCTCCTGTTCTCCAATAAGTAAACTGGAAACTGGGCAAGAGAGGAAGATGTGAGATTTGCATTTAAATTTCAAGCTTTTTTAGACCTCTGGACACCTCATTCCATCTGTAATAGGGTTGTGGCAGCACCTACTTCCAAGTATTCTTTTCATGATAAGATTGAATGATGTGACTGCAAAAACAGAAACAAAAATTGTAGTAGATTTGATGGCTTGGAGGCTTAGTTCAAATTGTAGCTCTGTAAAAATGGGCTTTTTGGCTTTGAACTTATTTACTTATTTTAGAACCAAATTTGAAGAGATCTGTGAGATGAAATCTCTGCCTAATGATCATTAGGCGGTCCCCTGGGCTCACACTGGGATCCAGCCACAGATGAGTCTCTGGCACAAGCCATCTTTCCCTGATAGGGGCTGTTTGAAAACACTGAGAGAGAGGGATCCCCCCATTCACATGTATGCTTCTTTGTTTGACTTGCAGGAAGACGATCAGCCAGGGAGTCACTCAGGTGAGGCCTCTGCTATCTCTTTGTGTGATGATAATGCAGAAAACCAATTTTTAAAATTTTGAATTGTCCTCTTTCATAAATTTTGTCTATATCTTATTATATCCAACATTGTCACTTGAGTTCTTCCACTGATAACTTAGAACATTCAATTTCTATTCCTCTTTTGTTAGATTTCATATATTGACTAATTAATTTAAATACTTTCATCATTATTCCTAAATTATCTCCTTCATTGTATCTTCAAAAATAAGAAAGGTATATGGCTTTGACTGGAGCCATGTATTCATTCAATCAGTCAACCAATATCAGAAGGTCTGTAAATCATTCTGCTAAGTGCCAAGAGGCAGGAATATAGGAAAAATCTTGAGAGTTTTAAAGTATTTTAAAGTAGATAATATATAGACCAGGATGCTACTCCAGTCCTTGGATAAGGACATCATACTTGGTCAAGTAGAGGGTCAACCAAAAAGAAGACCGTCATTGAGATGTATTGACACAGTGGCTGCAATAATAGGCTCAAACATAACAATGATTTTGAGGATGGTGCAGGACCAGCCAGTGCTTCACTGGGTTGCTATGGATCAGAAACAACTTGACAGTACCCAACAACAAGAGGAAGATATAGACACATTTCTGTAATGCAAGACAGGGAAAGATCAATGTATTGAAAAAAATGATGAAGTTATTTGCAAATTTAGAAGAATAAAAGATTTTAAAAATAGTTTTATCTGGAGATACCACTATTTAGTAGTTATATTATTATAGTGTGTTATTGTTTATTCCAACAATAAACAGTTGTTTCTTCCCAAGTACTTTTAGTGGCACATGTATACACATAGCCACTCTCTTCTGGCCCTTCCTTAAGCTCTTTGTTCTGCCCAGCTATCAGTTTTCTATCTAAGGTGAGTTCATATTCTTCATTCAATATTTACTGAGCACTTGTTATGTGAATGGCACCATTCTGAATGTGGGTGATACCACAGGGAGACAGTCAGATAAGAATCTTATATTCATGGACCTGAGTACATACTCTGAGGAGGAATGTCCCTTATAACTGAGAATAGTAAGACTTTAGCTCACTTACTTTGGAAACATAATCAAGAAAGGCCAATCACTAGAAAAAGACATTATGTTGGTAAAGTGGAGGATCCATGGCAATGAGGGAAATGCTCAATGAGATGGATCGACACAATAGCCACAACAATGAGCTTAAACATATCAAAGATCATGAATATGGCACAGGACTGGGCAACATTCTGTACTGTTATACACAGTCAGCCAATGAGTATAATTGACTATACACAGTCAACTATGAATCAGAGCTAACTTGATAGCAACTAACAGCAACAAGAAGCATACTTTGAAATGGCCCACTCAACCGGTATACAAGATGGAGGCTTGTCCCATACAACTGTGCCATCCAGATACCTATTTGTCCATGAATGAATGTTCCGCTCAAGCAGCTTTCTAACAGGTTTCTCTCCTTCAATGTTTCTCTCACTATCCCAAATAAAATCATGTGTTTCTGTGTTTGCAGGAGCACTTCCAGCCCACTTCCCCAAGACTCCACCTATCTCAACTCACCCACTCCAGTGCCACTGCAGCCTGTGTATGGAAATGGTGAGATTTCCCAAATGATCTAGGCCAAAATGTGTAGAACGAGCTGGGGAAGAAGTCATGGAGTAACATCTACTAGCATAACCTGTCTCTGTTGTGCTCCAGCCACTTTTGGAAATGAATGACTCATCTCATCTGTGTTCTTTGCTCTGATGGGTGGATAGGTGTGGAGTAAGTTGAATGGCAAGAAGGAACTGTGCTATGATGCCTTCTTTGTTCTCTTTCAGTCAATACTTTAAGTGGGGATGATATTTATTCACTGGTATACTCTACCCAGCTGGAACAGGAATCACCAGCAGGTGAGACACAGGAGTGAATTTATGTCTGACTTCTGTCTTTCTTGGACTAAGAGGAGAACCAGTGGCTGAGCACAGCAGAGCCACTACTTCTCCTTTTAGAGCTGACTATGAACTTTGCTGTTCCTATCTAAAAACTGATCTTTGTTCCGGAAGCTGCCTTCAGTAGATCCCAGTGCTGATGTTAACTTGGCCTATATAATATCTCACTCCCCAGTCGTATGTCAGCATATGAGATCATGGCTTCTGCAAGCCCTCTCTGAGCAGCTCCACAGTTCCCCTTAGCAGCTCATCACAGCTGCTTAGTTATTTGCTGCTACCCATACTACACATGGAGGTATCAGCAAATCTCAATGGTATAAAGACCCCTTCAATAACAGGAAGGGCATATTTACTTCTCACCCCACTATTCCCACCAATATTTCTCTATATAGTAAGAAAATCATATTCGTAATAGGTAGAAAAGCAAGCCAAAAATATTAATAGAAATCAATCCATGGGAAACAAATGGGACTAGAAGAAGCCTATATTAATACCAAGTTAAGAAAGGACTTTAAATATAAGTGGAGTCTTACTGCACTCACCTTTTTCTCCATTTTAGAACCCCCAAGGACCCTTAGTAAGGATAAGGTAAGTTAAAGGCCCTGTTTTTCTTTTCTCCATGCTCTTGCTCTTTCCTCCGGGCACTGGTTCTCAAACTTAAAATTATGGTCACTTAGGAAAAGTAAAAGATTTCATGGTTTACTTCCTCCTCTATCTCCCTACAAATGAGGGTAACAAATTAATTATAACCACAGAGTATCTCTGTATAAGTAACAATCTGGAGGCCTACATGGACATTTAACATGTAGTTAAGCCATAGTGCATATATAGTCTAAAAAGCCTATTTACTTGAAAATTTGTATCCCAAAATACTGTTGAAGTGCATAACACTGTGGTATAAGGTTAACAAAACAATCTATATCAAACTAAACTAATAATTGAACAAAGTTATGCTAATAGTGATTGGTGTCATTAAAAAGCAATGATTTGTAAACCTTGAACAACTCAAGACTTTGCTGATGTTGCAAAAATAGTTTCTGAAAATTGCAGGATTCCAACTCTGTGCTTATGTGCAAAAATAATAGATGTTTTGTCTAGTGTGGTATGGCAAGATGTCTCAGGACATTATTTAGTTTCATAGTGTTACTGTAACAGAAATACCACAAGTGAGTGGCTTTAAATTACATAATTTCTAGTTCTGGAAGCTAGATGTCTGAATTCAGGGCACCAGCTATGGGAGAAGGCTCTGGAGGAAGATCTTTGTCTCAGCTTCTGTAGCCCCAGTATTCCTCAGTTCCTTGGTGATCTTCATGTGCTATCTAACTTACCTGTGTCCAATCTTCTCTTCTTATAGCTCAGAAGTGATTAGGTTTAGGACACACCCTACAATGTTCTAGCCTCATGACATAAATTAAACCCTAGTTCTTAATAGGAGTATATCCATTGGTATAAGGGTTAGGATTTTAACAAATATTATGCCATAACTAGACAGAATTCAAGCCCTTGATGAATTCCAGTAATGCACTAAATTTAGTTTACAAATACAAAATTCTGATATCCTTTAATAAATGATAGCTCATGGAGTTGCCTGACAATGACTCATAAAACATAAGGGCAGACCTTGAGGATTTGAGTCAGTTTGCAGGTCATCAGGAACCCTTCTGTGGTCCACTAGCATGATGCAGACCCTGTGAAAATGCTACCTTGGGCCACAGTCTTCAAAGAGGCTTTAATTTATGTGTCGTATGGTAAGCCATGAGAGGATGCATCCAGGCTAATGGGGAAGAGGCTCAGTTTGATGTGTGTTCTATTACAGTCTCTGCTCTGATTGAATATCTATGATATTTTGCTTCCAGGTCTCCTTACCCATCTATTCTAAATTGAAGAAGATTACTGTTATAGATATGGACTATGATGATGCAGTGTAAAACTATGGAATATTCTGCTCTTTGTAAACCAACCATAACTCTGAGTCCCAGATCCAAAACATGTGTCAGAGAGCCTATGGGAGCCAGCTTTCTGGTACAGCTCACCATGGTACTTTGCTCCATAAGCCTATTCCTTCACCTGCTGTGAAGGGAAGTCATTACAAGCCCTGAAGAGACCATCCAGGAGAGCAAACATGGAAGTGGGGAGGACAGTGTTACAGAAGAGGCTGTTTCCTGCTGATTCCTCTGGGGTGGGTTAAAATGTGCTCTAAATTCTTTTCTCAAGAGGAAATGGTGGAATAAAGTGGCTTGGGCTCTCTGGGTGGAGAAACAGGCAAGCTTAGAGCACACAGACTCAGGATTTGTGTTTTTTTTTAATTTTATTTTTAATTTTTATTAGGATTTGGGTGAAGATTTACAGAGTAAGTTCACTTTTCATACAGCAGTTCACATATACTTTGTCTCATGTCATTGACCAAAATTTACAATGCAGCAGCTTCCCTCCCACTTCCTCCCCATAGTTACCTCCTCCCAGTGTCCATCCCTTCATACTCTTCTGCACCCTAAGCTATCTCCCTGTGCATAAGCAGCCCTTCCTTCTCCCATGATTGTTCTCTCCAGGGCGTGTGTCTACTTGAGGTAAATGTTTAACTCACATGCCTGTACTGTTTGGCTGGAAACCACAGGTGTGGGTTCAATTCCAGACCTGAAGGGCAGCTAGGGGCCATAGTCTCAGTGGTTCCACCAGGCTCTATTGGACCAGCAAACCTCATCCCCACCTTCTTCTTCTTTTTTTTTTTGCCTCCAAATGATTTTTAGTTTTGTTCCACCTTGTTCTCCCTCTCTATGCAGGATCTCCTACATCCCTTCCAAGTGGATGGCAGTGGTAGCTGGGCACCATCTAGTTCTTCTGATCTCATAGTTGTATAGGTTGCAGATTGGATGGTGTACCAGTCGCTAGGACTGATTGTTTCCATTAATTTTGGTAGGGTTTGTGGTTTTGTAGAACTGCTCCATGAAGAGACCTGGGTCCATTATTTTGTCCAAACACTTTCTCTGCACAGACTGTCCAGAATCCTTGCCCTGACACTTATGTTGTTGTTAGGTGCCACTGAGTCAATTCTGACTCAGAGACTCCATGCACAACAGGACAATACACTGACAGGTCCTGTGCCATCCTCAAAATCATTGCAGTTTCAGCCCATTGTTGCAGCCACTGTGTCAATCCATCTTGTTAAGGGTCCTCCTCTTTTGCACTGACCCTCACTTTACCAAGCATGATGTCCTTCCAGGGAATGGTCCTTCTATTTTTTTTTTAATGGATAATAATGTTGTTAATACATTTAAAATAAAATTTATTTTGATTTTGATGAAGGTTTACAGAGCAAATTCATTTTCCATACAGCAATTCATACATGTTTTGTTTCATGACATTGACTGCAATCCCCACAATGTAATAGCTCTCTTCTCACCCCCTCCTTATAGTTACATTTTCCCAGTGTCCTTCTTTCCTATACGTTCCTGCCCCCTGAGAAATCTCCCTTGGCAAATACTGCTCTTTTGTTCTCCCATAATTGATCATTCTAATAAGTTTATCTACCTGGTGTATATGTTCACCTTCTAGGCCTGTCTATTGTTTGGCTGGAAGCCACCAAAATGAATTCATTTGGACACGTTGTCATGACAAGTCCCTCTTGACAACACATCTAAAGTAAGCAAGATGAAGTCTTACTACCCTTTCTTCTAAGGAGCATTCTAGCTGTACTTCTAAGAGTGGTTTGTTCATTCATCTGGCAGTCCACATTCTATTTAATATTCTTTGTCAACACCATAATTCAAAGACATCAATTTTCTTTCATTCTTCCTTACTCATGGTCCAGCTTTCACATGCATATGAGGCAATTGAAAAGACCATGGCTTGGGTCAAGTGCACCTTAGTCCTCAAGGTAACTCCTTGCTTTTTAACATTTTAAGGAGGTATTCTGCAGCACATTTACCCAATGGCACTTAATCATCCTGTTTCTGCTTAAAATATGCTATCCACTGCATTTTGGGTCTTGTTACCAAACTAGAACTAAAACAAAGTTAAATAAGGAGTTATTGTGGTTACATGCAATTTTAGTGATGCATTTTCCAGGTTGATCTAAATGCCCTGATATTTATGAGAAATAATCCCCATATATTCTACCATATCCAAAATTCTGTGTCTATTGCAACCTGTAGAAGAAGGTTTATGAATACATTTTTTTTCTTTCATTCATAAATTTATTGAAAATGTGCAATATGATTTGGAGTCTTCTGCTGCAAAAGATCTCTTTCAAGTGTTGAAGAGCAAAGATGTCTCCTTGAAGACTAAGGTGCACCTAACACAAGCAATGACATTTTCAATCACCTCTTATGAATGTGAGAACTGGACAATGAATAAGGAAGACAGAAGAAAAGTTGATGTTTTCGAGTTGTGGTGCTGGCAAAGAATGCTAAAAGTACCATGGAATGCTAAAAGAACCCAGAATGCTCCTTGGAAGCAAGGATACCAGACTTGATCTCACCTATTTTGGTCATGTTGTCAGAAGGTACCATTCACTGGAGATGTATATCATGCTTGGTAAAGTGGAGGGTCAATGAAAGAGGAGATGGCCCTCAACAAAATGGATTGATGCAGGAGCTGAAATGACGGGCTTAAGTATAAGAAGGGCTGTGAGGCTGGCACAGGACCAGATAGTGTTTCATTCTGTTGTACATAGGGTCGCTATGAGTTGAAGACAACCGGACGGCACCTAGCAGCAACATTTTAATTTTCAAACAATCACATGCTCATTTTTTTTTTTTTAATTGTACTTTGGGTGCAAATTTACAAGGCAGATTTGGTTTACATTCAACAGTTCATGCTCATCTGATTTCATGACCCCAATTATAATCCCCAGTATTCTTTAGGACATGGGAAAACCAATCACTAATTTCAAATGGAAAAGAAAGAGACCTCTGATAAGAAAACATTGCTGAAGAAGAAAAACAAAGTAGAAGGTCTCACACTCCTGTAACTCAAAATCTACTATGCAGCCACAGTAGTCAAAACAGCATGGTATTGGTACAATGATAGAAAAATAGACCAGTGGAACAGAATCAAAACCAATTTTGCCTGCACAATTGTTAAAGTATCTATCTCCCCCATTTAATGGGTTTTGGCCTTTTGTCAAATAGCAGCTGTCCATAGATAGATGGGTCTATTTCTGAGTTTTTGATTCTATTCCACTGGTCTGTTTATCTATCATTGTACTAATACCATAGAAGAATAATGATCATACAAAGAAATTCAAACTTCTGGTTAACATGGTGATTCAATTTCATCCTTTGAGGTTCTCCCTGAGTTCCAAATATACTGGTGGCAAACAAAATATAAACGGTTGTCCTAAAATAATTTTTTCCATGGGCCAGGCACAGAAAATTAATTAAAAACATTTAAATTGAAATTGTGACTGAAGGAAATAGAACAAGGATATCAGGAAGCAGAACATTCAAGGTATAGGAAATAGCAAGTTGAGAGGTCCTGAGGTGGTTCTGTATTTGATGTATCCGAGAAACACCAATGCTAACATAGTTGAAGTGAACTATATAAGGGAAGAGTGGTAGGGAAATCTGGAGTATTAAATACAGAGTCCAAAGCCAGACTTATATTTAATTTAGATGAGATAAAAGTAGCATTAAAACAGAAAGAGAAAGAATAGACTGTTTAATAAATTTTATTGTTGTTTTTAGGTGCCATCAAGTCAATTTTGACTCAGAGACCACATGTGACAAGGTAGAACTCCCTCATAGGGTTTCTTGGCTATAATCTTTATAGAAGAAAATTTCCAGGTCTTCTTCTGTCTGGGTGACTTTGAACCACCAACAGTTAGCAGGCAAGTGCTTAACCATATGTGCTATCAGGGCTCCTTTATTTAATAAGTAAAAGTAGACAATTTATATCTGTTTTTAAAAAGAAAGGTACAACTCTACCTCACATAACTAAAAAATTCCAAAAAATAAATATAGAAATCAAAACAGCAAAAGTTAGATTCCTACTTCTCACCAAATATATGTATATTGAGTGAATATAAAACAAAACTATGAAAGCATGATCAGAAAACATAGCAGGATACTTTTATGATATGGTCTGAAAGAAAGATGATAGCAGAAAGCCAAGAAACTCAAAAGCCAAGAAGAAAAAAATTGAGAAATTTAGCTGCACAAAAATAACAAACTATTTCGAATCTTGCTTATGGTAGATTGTTTGGTAGATGTTTGTGATTTTAGGCTGAGCAGTTTCTTTGTAGTATGGAAATTCCATGTGCCTCAGCTTCTAACTGTGTTCTTCAGAAGCAATTTTACATTGTTTCTTCCAAACATTGGAGGTGTCACTGGTCAGAGGGCCTATTTTTATAGTAATCCCTTATTTGAGGTTTTCAAGAGAAAAAAGTGTGACATGGTCCTGGGGTTTTGTTATTTCAGGGAAACTTTCCAATTCTTCCAGAGCAGATACCAAAAAAAATGTTTCTCAGTGATCTGTCTAAGCTGGTGGGTATATTTTGTTTTTCCCCACCAACAGCACATTTATTAAAAGGGAAGTCTCTTGAGGGTCCAAATTTATGCAGGGGTTTAAGATTCAAATCTCTGTCACAGTTGTAGGCACAAAGTCTTATTTCCTAGCTCCACCAAGGGCTCTAAATGCCAAGCTTATTGAAATGTTACAGTGTTCTGTTTACTTCATCACCTTTCACCAGGGGATCAGCAAGGGCTGAAACAATTTTAACAATACCATTTTCATTTCCCTTTTTTGTGAAAAAGAATTTCCCCTCTTTCTTTCACGTTTAGTTGTACATTTAAAAAGTTATACTATTCATCTAGCATTTATAAGTATTTATAATGGGAGAAGTTTTAGATTTTTAAGTCTATTGCACTTGCCAACGTGAATTTTCCCGCTTCAATGGGAGTGTGATTTTATTTTGATTTTTAAATGTTTC